ATGCTGGTTTATATATCTCTGAATCAATGCGCCAAGGAGAGTTGAGACACTGGGAGTTTATATAACAAGTGGTGCTGATTCGTCTATGGATACTGAGAAAGAATAGGGTCTATGTGACTAATAGAAGATACAATCCCAGGGGCTGGGGCTTTAGCCCAGCGGAAAGGCGCCTGCCTGGCATGCGCAAGGCCCTGGGTTCAGTCCTCAGCCCTGGAAAACAAAAATAAAAGCTACAAAAGAAGATACAATCCCATAGAAGATATAATCAGCCATGGCTGACAAATCCAAGAGACTTTTATTTCCAGTTAACCAGCAAAAAGCTGGAAGTGGAGCTGTGGCTCAAGTGATAGAGCACTAGCCATGAGTGGAAAGAGTTGAATGAGATTGAAAGGCCCTGAGTCAAACCCAAGAACCAGCACAAAAACTTTAAAAATGAAAAGAGTATAGTAAAAATATTTAGTAAAATGTCCATAAAACAAGAGTTCACTAAGCTCTGTGTACTTGGTTTTTCCACATGTTTATTCCAGATGCCTATGGTCAAAAGGTGAAGGTGACCTAAATTTCCATTCTTGGAGCAGCAGCCTGGAATGGACATAAGTCCTGATTCCTTCCTCCTGGTGTCCTTTTTTTTTAAAAAAAATTCTTTCAATGTTGCTTTCATTATGATTTTCCTTTTATTTTTTATAGGAGCTAGCTAAGTTCTATATTTAAAAGAATATTATAAAGTTGGACGCAGGGGCTCACACCTGTAATTCTAGCTACTTAGGAGACTGAGGTCTGAGTATTATGGTACAAAGCCAGCCTGGGCAGGAAAGTCCATGAGCCTCTTATCTCCAATGAACCCCTAGAAAACTTAAAGTGGTAGAGCTCTAGCCTTGAGCAGAAAAGCTCAGGGATAGAACCCAGGCCCTGAGTTCATGCTCCATGAATGACAAAAAAAATACAGCATTATATTTATTCATAATTTCCAGGAGTTCATGATGCAAGTGTTTTCTGATTATTCAGGTCCATTATATGTATAGATTATTTTGAGATAAGTATATAAAAAGATCATTTATAAACATATTAACCTATATTTCAGCAATGAGTTTCTTTTTGCTTCTTTAATTTTTTTTTTTTGGTTGTTCCGTGGGGCTTGAACTTTGGGCTTGGGCGCTGTCCCTGTGCTCTTCAGCTCAGGGCGAGCACCCTACCACTTGAGCTACAGCGCCACTTCCAGTTTTCTAGTGGTTTATTGGAAATAGGAGTCTCATGGACTTTCCTGCCTGGGCTGGCTTTGAACCGTGATCTTCAGATGTCAGTCTCCTGAGTAGCTAGGATTACAGGCATTATCCACCAGTGCCTGGCAAAAAAAAAATTTTTATTAGCCCAGTGCCAGTGGCTCATGCCTGTAATCCTAGCTACTCAGGAGGCTGAGATCTGAAGATTGCAGTTTGAAGCCATCCCAAGCAAAAAGTCCACGTGAGACTCTTATTTCAAATCAATCACTCAAACAGCAGAAGTGGAGCTATGTTTTGAGGTCATAGAGTGCTAGCCTTGAGAAAAAACAAAAAGCTCAGGGACTGCACCCAGGCCCTGAATTCAAGCCCATGACTACCACCAAACCCAGATTACTATTATTATAAAATTATATACAGAGGGCTTACAGATATATAAATCAAGTAAAGAGTACCTTTCTTTTTGGACAATGTCACCCCTTCCCTCACACACTCCCAGTATTACCCTCCCATCCTCACCTGCAAGTTGTATAGTTCATTTTCAACATAGTGTCTATGAGTACCACTGCTGCCTTTGTTTACCCTTTGTCCCTTCATTTCTGTGTCCCTTTACCCTTCTAGATAAATAAGACAAAAACAAAAGGAAACAAAAACAGCAACAAGAAACCTCATTTCCATTTCTTTGGAGTTCATTTTGATAAATATGATTTTGTATCAATAGGTGCACATAGGCATAGGACCTTTGTGTTCCTCTCCTAAGAGTAATCTCCCTTGGTCTAATTTTGTGTGAATGTCTAGAGACCTGTATAACTTATCATGTCCCAGTGTATTTTAGATCAAGCTTCTGCATATAAGAGAAAACATGTGCCATTTTTCCCCTCTGTGCTTGGTTTATCTCACTTAACATGATTTGTCCTAGGTCCATCCATTTTCCTGCAAATAACATAATAATATTCTTCCTAATGGCTGTGTAAAATTCCATTGTGTTTATGTACCACATATTTTTGCTGCTTATTTTAATTTCTGGTCCATCATGGGTATAGATCAGTAAATAATGTATGGCTAAGTATAAAATCAATTAAAGGGCTGGGAAGGTGGCTCAGTGGTAGAGCACTTGCTTTGCATGCATGAGGCCCTGGGTTTGATTCCTCAGCACCACATAAGCAAAAAGAAAAAAGCCGGAAGTGGCGCTATGGCTCAAGTGGTAGAGCACTAGCTTTGAGCTAAAGAGCTGAGGGACAGCGCCCAGGCCCAGAGTTCAGGCCCCACGACCGGACCCCCCAAAAAAAATCAATTAAAAATTGTCTAACGATCAAACCTATATTGCAGTAAGGGATATTTTAGCTGAATAGAAAACTGGGTTACTGAGTCATGAATTTATTCTTGAAGTCCTCATTAATTGTTATGTAAGCTCTTTTGATAATACTCTCAAAGACTGAGATCTTGCTTCAAAGAGAAGAAATACTATTTGTTTTGTGTGAAAGATAAAAAGTACCATTGGACCTGGTGCTGGTGGCCACACCTATAATCTGACCTACTCAGAAGGCTGAGATCTCAGGATTGTTGTTCAAAGCCAGCCCAGGTAGGAAAGTCTGTGAAATTCTTCTCTCAAGAGAAAACCAGAAGTGGAGCTGTGACTCAATGTGGTAGAGTATTAGCTTTGAGCAAAAAAAGTTTAGAGACAGCACCCAGGCCCTGAGTTCAAGTCCCATGACTAACCAAAAGAAAAAAAAGTGCCATTACTGCCTTTAAAATTACCTAGAACGGGGCTAGGAAGGTAGCTCAGTGGTAGAACGCTTGCCTTGCATGCATGAGGCCCTGGGTTCGATTCCTGAGCACCACATAAGCAAAAAAGAAAAAATCCACAAGTAGCGCTGTGGCTCAAGTAGTAGAGTGCTAGCCTTGAGCTGAAGAGCTGAGGGACAGCACCCAGGCCCTGAGTTCAGGCCCCATGACCAGACCAAAAAAAAAAAATAAATAAAATAAAATAAAATTACCTGGAGCACCTTTGTTAAACAAATGAACAAAGAAAAACCTAGTAGTTTGCTATTTGCTGGAAAGTCCTGATCTACAAAGTTAAATTAAAATTCCACCAGTAAGCATAATCTCCCTTCCACTCCGAGCATCAAGTCTCACAACTCAGCAAAAGTACACCTGACACTCAACACTAACTTCAGTGATAATCTCACTTGTCTGCGATGCCCTTTTTTTAACCTAAAAATATTCAAATTCTACTGCAAATGGCAGTTTATGACAGTTTATTTTGAGCAATTTCTCCTTTCACTCTTAGGAAGATAATCATTTGTCCCCTGTATTCCCTTAGTAGTATAAGTTCCTAGAATTCAGGATTCATTTATTTTTGTAGTCTTAGCAACCCCACACAATACCTAGAATTCAGTACTTGATAGTGATTAATGAAAATAAATGGGGAGGTAGCATTAATGATATGGTTATAAGTGCTAGCAGTATCAATCTCTGATATAAAAGATGCAGCACTCTGGCGCTGGTGGTTCATGCCTGTAATTCTAGCTACTCAGGAGGCTGAGATCTGAGAATTGTGGTTCAAAGCCAGCCCAAGGAGGAAAATCCATGAGACTCTAAGCTCCAATTAAGCATCTAAGCTCCAATTAAGCACCAAAATGCCAGAAGTGGAGCTGTGGCTAAGTAGTAGAGCACTAGCCTTGAGCAAAAAAGTTCAGGGGCAGCACCCAGGCTCTGAGTTCAAGCTCCAGTACAGGTTCAAATCTCTAACCTAGAACATAATCTGATTTTCTCTGGAAAGATTTTTTAACTTAAAAATAAAATTTAAAAAGCCTCCTTGATTTTCTTTTTGCTTTTTGTCTCTCTAGACTTCAAAGCAACATAAACAGAGAAAGATCCAGAAAGACATAGGTAAGAAAGATCTCCTTGTTTATTCTTCAGTTCAAGCCTAATGATAGATTAACTTGGACTCTCTAGAAGATTCTGCCTTGAATGGCAGGTAGAAAGAGGTTGAAAACGAGCTGTTATTGGAGAGTGTGCCTTTCCCTTCTAACACTTCGCTTCCAGGGAAATGAAAACAGCTCCATCATTCTATCATGGTGTCTTTCCTCATGCTTCTTTTTTAAATCTATGTTTATGCAAAGCCCAATAGATGGAGAAGAAACTTGATGAGACAGGAGAATGAGAGTTTAGTGAGGGAAGTTTCAGTATCATTATTTCCCTACCATAGATGCTGGATAAACTTTTTTGAAAGAAAAATGTGTACCAGGAACTCTCTTTTCCCTACTCCAAGCTCCTATTCCCATGATTGTTTCTGCTCTTTTCAATGTCTGACCCATATAGAAGAAGTATAATATTTTTTAAACACTTTTTTCAACTTGAGACCAGACCTCATTTGCTTTATGATCTTGGAGTTGACTTCATGTGTGTTTCCTTGTTTGCAGAATAAGGGGTAGGGTTTGGTTGTCGTCGTCGTTGTTTGTGCCAGTCCTGGGGCTTGAACTCAGGGCCTGGGTGCTGTCCACGAGCTTTTGTGTTCAAGGCTAGCACTGTGATACTTAAGTTACACCTCCACTTCTGGCTTTTTGGTATTTAATTGGAGATGAGTCTTATAGACTTTCCTGCTGGACTGGTTTCAAACTGCACTCCTCCGATCTCAGCCTTCTGAGTAGCTAGGATTACAGGCCACCAGCACACAGCAGAATGAGGGGTTTATATTAGATGATGTCAATAATCATGATGCTAACATGATGCTAATCATGATGCCTATTCCCAGTTCCACAGTTGGAAGAAAACCCCAGAATGGATTCCATGGATGCTAACGTAGTCTTGTGAGTAGTCTGTTTAAAAACTGCCCTACTAAACTATCCTACTTGTAAAAGTTAAGAGTTCTTAACAAAGCTGATCCTTACTGTTTTCATTGTGCTATTTATCTCTTTTCTAACTTAAATCTCTCTTTTTATTGTTTTGTTTGCTGGTACTTAAACACTTGAATCACACTGACATACCTGCTGCTGTATCCAGTGTTTCAGGAGTCCCTGTGGGCTGGACCCAGGAATATATACTCTGGTCAATAGACAGGAGTCTCCGACAGATCTTCCAACATCTGGAAAATGCAAGGTCAGGCAACATCATTTCTGGAGATGGGATGGGAGATTAGAACACTGAAGAGGGAGGAAGGAAGCAAGGATTAAAGGAGGAAGGCAGGGGCTGGGGAGGTGGTTCAGTGGTAGAGTGCTTGCCTTGCATGCATGAGGCCCTGGGTTCGATTCCCCAGCACCACATAAGCAAAATGAAAAAAAGCTGGAAGTGGTGCTGTGGCTCAAGTGGTAGAGTGCTAGCCTTGAGCTGAAGAGCTGAGGGACAGCTCCCAGGCCCAGAGTTCAGGCCCCACGACCGGACCCCCCGCCCAAGAAAAAGGAGGAAGGCAAAGGGGAAAAGGTAATTTTTGGCAGTTCTGGGTTGAAACTGGTAAAAGGATCATTTCTGAGTAAAATGGGAATATTTTTCTCCCTTTGGGAGAGTAGGGGGAAGTCATTTTTCTTTCCCAACTCTCCCTCACACCCAAAAATTTGAAGTAGCCACTTTTTTATACACACACACACACACACACACACACACACACACACACACACATTCTGACTCCAAATGAAAGCCTTTCTCTTTATTTCTTAGATCAAGTCTTATGGAACAGCCTTTGCCTGAATTCCAGGATATGATTTCTTCCTCCTCCTCTACCTCCTCCTCTTCTTCCTCTGTTTTTGTGGCTCAGGAGGATGTTCTACCTTGTTGTTACTGTGAGAAGGCCAAATGTTCTACCAGCCACAGCCTCTCCTCTGGATCATCAAGCAAAAGCTCCAGCCTGTCTTGTCTTCCTGTCTTTTCAGAAGGAACAACTTGGCAATTCCCGAGCAAAAATTTACCCGTTTCACCTCAAAACCAACCATCTGCATTCAGGAACCAAGGCACATCCCTGTCTCCCTTTCAGTGGAAAGAGCCAAAGAAATCAGAACTTTTTCAGAATTTGGCAGCTCTTTCATCCTTCCACCCTCAAAACTCTTTCATTAACTCTATTCTCAATCCCCTAAATCTCTGCAAACAAGAAGAGAAGACAAAAGATAAGAGAAAAAGAAGGCGTCGTTTGGTCAAAGATCATGGGCTAAATTGTGTTTCAAGTGAAAGACCACAGTTCCCAGAGTGGGCTCCAATCCAGCTCTCTTCGTTGGTCAGAGGGGAGCTAGAAGGACATGTGTCTTGGAAGGCTTATACTTTACAGGAACAAAGAGTGCCTCTGACTGTGAAGGAATCGTGGGCAACGACTGATTGTTTAGTCCCAGAATCAGAGAACTCTCAAGTCCAATTGTCTATACCGATTGGTCAAAGCACTAAACAAAATGCCAACAATAAATCGTCAGACTTTCCACCATTTCAATTCCATGTGAACACTGAGGTGGACCCTGAATTAAATAGGGCAGAAACAAAAAATATACAGTCACATATCTCAAGTAAGCAGTTACAATCTGGAGATGACCCCCAAATCCTTGGATGCAAGCCCTTAATTATGTCAGTGGACATTCCACCTCTAAGAAGTTTAGGAGAAGAGACCACCTTACTAAAGAAAGACCCAAAACATGTGCTAGAGATTAGTATCAGGCAGAGGGTGGCTGGTTTTCCCGAAAAAAGGATCCAACAGCATAAGGCACAAGTGACTAATGTGGAGCTGACTCCAAGACTACCTCATCAAGACAGCATAAAGGTAACTCCATTGGAATTGCTTCAGGTCATGGACTCAATGGGAATGATTCCCGAAACACATTCAGAAGTGATAGAATCTGCGAGTTTGTTCCCAAAGCCATCAAATCAAGTGGAAAGTATGGAAACAATGAGTGTAACACCCAAACCACTAGAGCAAGTAACTGAATCAGTGAAGTTAACCCCATGTCTTCGACATCAAGTTTCAGAATCAAAGATGACAGCCTCAAGACTGAATCAAGCCACAGATAATGTGAGGGTAACTCCTGTAGCATTGCTTCAAGTCATGGATTCTATGGGGATGATGAGCAAATCACATCAACATATCGTAGAGCCAGTAGGAATGACCCCAAGGTCACAACATCAAGTCATGGAGTCAGCGAAGATGGACACAATATTGGATTGTCAAGCTATAAAACCAGGAAAGATGAGCGCAAAGCCACAACATACAGTTATGAAAACTGTGGGTATGATCCCAGGGCCACAGCATAAATGCATGCATTCAGAGAGTATGACCCCCGGGCCACAGAATCAAGCCATGGAACAAGCAAAGATTACTTCAAGAATACATCAAAACACAGAATCACTGGAAATGATGTCAACACCACAAGTCACGGATCACACGAAAATAACTCCAGTGGCACTATTACAAGCCATGGATTTCATGGGAATAATTCCACCAGAACAGCCACGTGTTATAGAATCTGAGGCTTTGACTTCAGGTTCACAATTTCAAACTGAAAATCTGACCCCTAAGCCACCATCTCTACCAGAGAATTTGACTACTTCTAGTTCTACCTCACTTGGAATTATAAAATCTGTGAGTTTGCCTCCAAAGGCATCACCTAAAATCAAGGAGTCAGCAGGACTGTTTCTAACACGACATCAGTCTATACATTCTCTAAAGGTAACCCCAGTAGTACTCAAGTTGCCCACAGGACCACAGTCACTAGTTGTAGAATCTGATGGTTTGACTCCACAGCCAATATCTCCTATCAAGAAATCTCCAGAACTGACTTCTGGGTTATATGCTCAAATGCAGGACTCAGTAAGGATGACTACACAATTTCAAGGTTCAGAACCTGTATCATTAACCTCAGGACTGTCTCATCAGGTCATGGGTCCTTCAAATCTGACCCCATGGCATCAAACAGTAGAATATTCAGTGATGAGTCCAAGACAGAGCCATAAAGTGACAGAAACTATGGAGCTGGCCTCTGACACTTGTCTACAAATGGAGAAATCTGAATTAGTACAGTCACCTCCTCAAATAATGCAATATTTAGGGATATTTCCAGGGTCACCAGGCCAAAGTACAGAATCTATTGAAATAAGCCAAAAACTACCACATCAAGTCAAAAAATCTTCAGTAATGGTGAAGCTTAACCAAGAGCCGTGTCTACAAGAAGTAATGGATTCCATAAAGGTATCCCAAGAGTTGCAAAATGTAAAGCCCGAGAGCATGATCCTAGGGGCAGGATTACAAAGTATGAAATCTGTAGATATGACCAGAGATGATGTCCCTCCAATGGTAGACTATGGACAGACAATCCCAGCTATGAAACCTATAGACTCAGCCCCAGAATGTCAATGGCAGAGTGTAAAATCTGCTGACTTAGTGCCAGCATTACTGTCACAGAGTAGGAAATCTACAGGTTTGATCCCCAATTCACAGTTCCAAGGTACAGAATATGTTCCTTTGGCACAACCCCTAGAGTTTCAAGAAACTAAAACTGGATATCAAGAAGCAAAAACAAAGTTGACCTCTGACATTTGTCATCAAGTGGAAAAACCTGTTGGGTTTACGTCATCATCTTTAGGAAATGCCCCAGGACCATTGAGCCAAACTTCAGCATCTATAGAGATGAGCTCAATGCCATTTCATGACACTCTTAAATCTAGGAGCCATGTTGTAGGAGAGGTGAAAGGGACCCTAGAATTACAACACCAAATGGAATCTCTATCTTTGCTATGTGGATCAGAAAAGAAAACTGTAAAATCAGAAGTATTGACCCCAAATCCAAAGCCCAATGGTGGGAAAGCCATTCATCTGAATGTAGAGCCACATTCAGAAGCCACTAAGTTGTCAAAGATGCCACTAAATTCCGAATATGAAGACACAGAAACAGTGAGGTTGACATTGCCTCAAGATGATAAGATCCAAAAGTCTATCCCAGAACCATATTCAAAAATAAAATCTCTGGATTTGACTCTAGGACCTGGGATACAAGAAGAGAAGACAGATTCATCTCCATTAGTGATAGGTTCTACAAAATTATCTGCTGAACCAAAACTACACGTTAAAGGCTTGATTCTCAGGCCACAGCTCCAGGGAGCAAAGTGTAGACAAATGGATCCAGAGTCACAGTTGCAAGACGGGCAAAGTGTGAATTTAATCCGTCCATCAGCTACAGCAGTGGTAGAATCTGAGAAGCCAAAACCTGACCTAATGCTACAAGATATGGCACTAGAGGAATTGTCTGAGGGGACACAGCTCCAAAATGTGAAATCTGTGGATTTAAATCTAGGTTCAGGACAGCCAAATGTCAAATCTTTCGGATCAGTTGCGGGGCCACAGTTGCAAAGTGTAAGATTTTCAAAGTTATCTCAAGAGCCGCTTCTTCAAAGAAAAAAACTTGCACATTTAATCTCAGGACCACCACATTTTGGAATAAAATCTGTTGAAATGATGCCAGGTTCCCCAGAGCAAGAAATCAAATTGCCAGATTTTATCCCAAGGCAAAAGCATCAAACTGTCAAATCCGTTCAGTTTAATCCAGAACCCCAATCTCAAAGAGTGAAAACTGCAGAACTAAACACTAGACCACACTTGCAAAATGTCAGATTTTCTGATTTGATCCCAGATCCAAAGTATCAAAGTTCCCAACAGATACAGCTGGGAGAAGGAATCCCACTTCAGGATATAAAGTCTGTAGAGTGTATATCAGAATCATTTTTGCAGTTAAGCCAAGGACCACAGATTGAAGATATGAAGTCTGTTCTGTCTACTGAAGGATTCCAATTTCACAGTCTGGAGTCTATGTTGTGCTCAGAACTACAATCTGAAGATTTGAAATCTGAGGAAGTCAATTTAAGGCTATGGCAACAAGATGTCAATTTTCCTGGCTTGACTTTAGGGCCAAAGCTTCAAGGTGTCAAATTTGGAGATCAAATCCCAGGATCGATGTTTTATGATAGGAATTTTGCAGAGGAGACTGCAGAGTTAGGACTTCATGACCCCAAATTATTAGCAAGAATGTCTCCAGGGCTTCAAGATACGAAACAGGTGGGGCTTACCACAGGACCATGTCTACGAGATGTCAAATTTTTTGACTTAACACCAGGAATTCAACCTCAATGTGTGAAATCTTCAGAGTTAAACTCAAGGCCACAGTTAAAATGCAAAAAACAGTTGGAGTTGTCCTCACAGTCAGAGAGGCAAGAGGTTAAGCCAGGGTTGTTAGTACCAGAGCCACTGTTTCAAGATGTAAAACATGCAACAGTGAACCATATGCCAAGCTCTGAAGGTGAAATTTCCTGTGAATTAGTCTCAGAGACACAGATTCTAAATGGAGAATCTATAGCATTAACTCCTGGGAGACAGTCACTAAGTGTAAACCATTCTGCACTGACTACAAGACTGCAGTCACAAGGTAAAAAGTCTTCTGAATTGGTCCAAGGACCACAGTTGGAAGACATAAAATCTAGGGAGCAGACACCAATCTCAGAATTGCAAAATTTAAAATATAAATCGATCTCGGAGCTACAGCAAGAGGAAGATCTGAAACATACAGAGTTCAACTCATTGTTACATTTGGGAGTTCTGAAATCCATACCAGAGCTGAGAGAAGTCAAATCTATGGCGTTAACTCCAGGGCTACAAGTAGAAGCTATGAACCCTAAAGAACTGACCCTGAGCTCAGAGTTCAAAGGTTTAAAGTCTGAGTTTCTGCCTTCAGGATCAAAGCTGGAAGATATAAAATCTAACATCTTAATTCCGAAGCCATGTTTACAGGGCATGAAATCTACAGATACAAACCCAATTTCTCAACTGCTGGAGAGTGTAAAATCTGTGGAGAGAAAAGATTTCAAATCTGTGGAATTTACTCATGATCGCAAGCTTGAAGATGTGAATTCTGTGAAGTTGATTCCAGGTTCAAGACTTGAAGATTTGAAAACTGGGGAGTTGGTCTCAGATCCACAGGTTCAAAGTGAGAAAGCTATGAAGTTGCAACTTGGGCCAAACAGGCAAGATCAGAATTCTATAGCCTTTGCACCAGAGTCATTAATTCAGCTTCCAAGTATGACATCTGACAAACTGATTTCAGAACCACAAACCCAGGATATAAAACTTGAAGAGATTAGCCAATGTTTTAAGCAGCAAACTTTAAAATCTGCAGAGAAGATTCAAAACCAGCAGCTACAAAGCTTCATAGTTGTGAAGTTTAACCCAAGGATAAAGAAGCAGGTACTAAGGTCTGTGAATATAATCAGGAGAAATGGGTTTCATGGAATAAAGCCTGTAGATTTAACACCAGAGCAACAGTTCCAGGGAATGACACCTGTGGATTTAGCTCTTGGGCCTGGAAAGGATGGTCCAATATCTGCAAACCCACCAGAGTGGTTTGTGAATGTAGACCAATTGAAGAGAGGGTCTGAATCTTTGAAGGTAATTACAGAGCCTAAATCCAAGGCTATAAAATCTGTAGACCTCAACTCCAAGGTACAGTGGTGTAAAGATATGCAATCATTTAAAATGGCTCCGAAACCAGTTACTCAAGGTATTACAGCTGAAGAGTTCAAATGTGAACCACAGTGGCAAAATACAAACCCATTCAAGGTGAGCCCCGGGCCACAGCTACACCAGGTGAAACCCTGGGAATGGACTTTGAAGCCACCATTTCAAGGCATAAAAACTGTGGGAATAAGCAAAGATCCACAACTTGGAAGTATGACATCTATTCAGTGGATTCCAGGTCCTGAATTCCAAGGTGTAAAATCTGCAGGGTTAAATCTTGGGTCACAATCTCAGGGTGTCAAACCTTCAGAATTGAAGCCATCCATACACTTGGGAGATGCAAAGTCCTGTCTGTTGACTCTAGGCTCAAAACCCCAAGGAGAAAAATCTGTGTTTAGTCTTGGGCTACAGTTGCAGTGTGAGAAAGCCCCCAAATTGCCTGTAGGATTAGAGCTACAAAGAAGGAAAGTTTCTGCTTCAGCCTCAGAGCCACAGCTTGGAGGTATGGAAACTGTGGAGTTAAACAAAAAGCCATGGCTTGGAAGTATGGGATCTATTCAGCAGATGCCAAAACCCGAATTCCAAGTTACAAAATCTATGCTAAATCTTGGATCACAATTTCAAGAGTTGAAACCTTCAGTAAAGTTGAGAGATAAAAAGACAGCAGAGTTGATTCCAATGCCAAAGCTTCAGGGCATACAACCTTCAGCACTACTCCAGGAACATCAGCCGCAAGGGTTCATACCTATTGATTCGAAATCTGGGGTACAGTGGCGGAGCATAAAATCAGGTGACTCAATTTCTAGGTCAAAACTTAGTGATTTAAAGCCAGTGACATTCAAACCTGGTCTTCATTTACAACATATGAAATCTGAGTTGACCCCAGAAATACAGCTACAAAAAGTAAAGCCCTCCGAGTCATCCATAGGAACCCAGTTTCAAGATGGAGAGTCTCCAGCGTTTATACAAGATACTCAGCTTCCAGAAATGAAGTCCAAGATGTTAAGCCAAGGACTACAATTACAAAGTGATAAAATTGTAGCGCTAAACTCCCTACTTCATTTGAAAAGTATAAAATTGTCTGAGTTGGCTAGCCAGGAAAAGCTTCAAGGCATGAAATCTGAGGAACTCAACTCTGAGTCCCCATGGCAAAGTATGAAATGTTCTCAGTTGCCACCTAAGACAAATTCCCAACATATAAAATTTACCTTAAGCCCTAGGTCACAGATGAAGGAAGAGACATTTTCTGATTTGACAATGGGGACCAAGATTCAAGACAGCAAATCTACAGGCTTCGAACCTGGGTCACAGTTGCAAGGAATAAAATCTTCCAAGTCAATACTGAAGACACAACTTCAAGATGTGAACTTGGTAGAATTAGAATCAGGCCCACAGTTACAAGATGTGAAATCTTCTACAATGATCCCAGGTATAAAAGTTCAAGATGTAAAAGGTATTAATTTCAGTTTTGAGTCATCGGGTATGAAATCTGAAGCAATTCCATGGGAAAAGTTTCAAGATGTGCAATCTGTAGACGTCAAGTCAGATCCAAAGCTACAAGGTGAGAAGCCTGATTTAACCCTGGGAGAAGAGTTCTCAGGTGTGAAAACTGTAGGACTGAATTTAGACCTACAATTACAAGACAGAAGCCCTACTGAGCTGCTCATGAGTATAAAATTTCAAGGTGCAAAACCAATGGAGTTTAGTTCTGGACAATGCTTTAAAAGTGTGAAATCTTCTGAGATGATCACAGGAACAAAATTTCAAGGTGTGAATTCAGTGGACTTCAATTCTGCCACACAGATACAAGGTGAAAAATCTTCTGAGTTGATTCAAGGAATAAAGTTTCAAAATGGGAAATCTGTAGAGGCCAAAGATTGTCTAAAGTTACAAAATGTGACCTCTGACTTAATACCAGATCAGGAAGCAATGAAGTACAACTCAGGCAATCAGTTGCAAGGTACAAAAGATTCTAAGTTGATCCTGGGGACAAAGTTTCAAGATGTAAAACCTGTGCAGGTCAGTTCTGAGCCACACCTGGAATGTGTAAAATCTTCTCACATGATTCCAGGAACAAAGCTTCAAAAAGATCAATCTGTGGGGTTCATGCCTCAGACACTGTGGCAAGATGTGGAGTCTTTTCAATTGACTTTAAGTAAGGTACAATCCAGGAGACCATTTCAGGTCAACTCAGCCCCTCAGCTACAAAATAGGAACTTATTTATGGTGACACCAGAGATACAACTTCAAGACATGAAATCCATGGAATTCAACCCTGAGGAAAAGTTGCAAGGTGTAAAATCTAAGTCCATAAGCCTTCAAATGGTGAACAATACAGGAGTCAACCATGACTCCAAATTGCAGGTTGCAAAACTCTCTCATAGTATGAGACCTTCTCAATTCAATGCTGGGAATCAGCGTCAAGATGAGAAATCTCATAAATCAAGTCAATGGCCACAGTTTCAAGGAGTAAACTTCATGGTGTTTAATCCGGAGTCACATTTGCAGCATATAAAGTCTTCAGAATTATGCACAGGAACCAAGTTTCAAGATGTGAAATCTATGAAATTCAATTCAGAACAGTTGCAAGAAGTGAAAATTTCCCTGGGAACGGAGTTTCCAGGTACAAAATCATTAGAGCCCCAGCTGCAAGGGATAAAACCTTTTGAGCTGTGCATAGAGACCACGCTTCCAGATGCACAACCTCTGGAATTAAAGCATGAGCCTGAATTGCAAAGTGGAAAATTCTCTGAACTTAATCCAGGGCCATGGGTTCAGCATAAAAACTTGACAGCACAATTACAAGGCATAAACTCTTCTGAGCTGAAACCTGGGCCAGAGCTTGAAGATATGAAATCTAAGATGTTCTACTTTGGACCACATTTGCAAAGTGCGAATTCATCTACATGCATTTCAGGGCCCAAACCACCATATATTGATTTGAATGGATATAATCCACATTTTCAAGGTGTAAACTCTCCTGCATGCCTTACAGGGACAAAACCTCAATGTGTAAATGCTATTGGGTGCAACCCTGGGTTACCTTTGCAAAGTGCAAGTTCTTCTGCGTGCACTTCAGGGCCCAAATCTCAGTGTGTCAATTCTATGGGGTGTGACCCTAAGCCACATTTTCAATATGCAGATTCTTCTACATGCTTTCCAGGGCCAAAGTCTCCGTGTGTTGGGCCTACTGGCTGTAACACTGGTCCATTAAAATTTCCTATATCCATTCCAGGGCAACAATTTCAGTGTATAAACTCTATTGAATGCAACCCTGAGCCACATTTGCAAGGTGTGAATTCTGCATACATTCCAGAGCCAAAACCTCAGTGTGTAAACTCTACTGGTTGCAACCCTGGGTCACATTTGCAAGGTGCATATTCTTCTGTATGCATTCCAGGGTCACAGCTTCAGTGTGTAACCTCTATTCAGTGCAACCCTGGACTACATTTGCAAGATGTTAAACTATCTGAATCACCTGAAATCTCAAAATTTCAATGTATAAAACCTGAGTTCAATCTAGAGACCGAAATCGAAAGTGAGACATGTGTGAGAGTCAATTTTGGATCACATTTGCAAAATGTGAATTCTGAATTGACTCCAGGATCAAAGTTTCTAGGTGTAGCACCCACGGAATGCAACCCAGGGTCACAAGCGCAGTGTATGAATTCTTCTAAATTGAATCCAAGGACTAAATCACATTTTATAAATTCCACAGAATGCAAACTTGGGACATACCTGCAAGGTACAAAAGCTTCTGAAGGTACTTCAGGGAAAAAACTTCAAGGTATGAGATTTTCTGAGTTTCACATAAGGCCAGAAGTTCAAGATACAGAATCCAATGTGTTCCACTCTGTGCAACATTTACAAGACATACAGTATGAATTGACTCCAAGGACAGAGTGTCAAGGTATAATATCAACCAAGGTCAATTTTGGTCCACAGTTTCAAGGTATGAATTCTTCTGAGTTGAATTCAGAGTTAAAATACCAGCGCATAAATTCTGAAAAGTGCAGTCCTGGGCCACAAGTGCAAAACATGAAGCCTTCTCACTTGAACTATGGTTCAGAATCTCAAAGTACAAAATATGTTCTGTTCAATTCTGGCCCATACATGCAAGCTGCAAAATTTGAGTTAACACCTGGGACAAAGTATCAAGGAGCCCAGTTTTTGGAGAACCAACTTGGGTCACAGAAGCAAGCTGAAAAATGTATGTTCACTCTGGGGCCTCAGTCAAGTGATCAGAAATCTGTGGTATTTTTACCAGAGCCACTGCTTAAAGATGAAACGTCTGTGGATATGAGCAAACAGCCACTAACTGCTATGAATTTGACGTCTGGCTCTGAGCAACAGGACTTGAAATATAAAATGTTTCCACTAAAGCCATGTTGTCAGAAAGTGACACCTATAGCATTAAAAACACAGACACATCCACAAGTTATTAATTCTGAGAAGGTGTCCTCTCACCTCACACAACAAAATGTGGTTTTTGTACCAGAGTCATGTTTGCAGGATGTGAAAACTTCGGAGTTGAAACCTGGGCCACCTCAAAGTATGAGTTCTTTAAGGTTGACACCATACTTCAGATCACATTGTGTCAAATCTATGGTCTTTGCACCAAAGTCATGTTTTCAGGATGTAAAACCTGAGGAGCTAAAGCTAGGGTCCCAACAGCAAGGCATGAATTGCCAGGAGTTCACTTCAGGATGGCAAGATGTGAAACCAGTGACATTAGGACCAACGTCAACTAGGATGTTCTTACAAGGACCCAAACTGACCAGTGTCAAATTTTCAAATATGTCTCCAGAGTCACAGCCACAAGGTATGAAACTTTTCACGTTTACTTCACAGCCAAAGTTGCAAGGTGTAAAACACGTGAAATTGTCTTCAGTGTCTTTGCAACCAACTGTGAAGTCTATGACGTTACCACCAAAGTTACTGCCTCAAAAAATGAAATCTGGGGCCAGAACTCCAAAAGCAAGTGATCAAACCACAGAATCCTCTGAAATCCCTAGATCATGGCCTCTATTTGTAGGACACACAGAGACAATCCCAAAGCCCAGGTACCAAGTCCTTCAGTATAGTAGTTTGAATTCAATACCAATTTATCAAGCCCCAGATATGACACAAACATTGGCAGATAAAGTTCCAGAAACACTGAAGAAAACTGCGGGGTTGACCCCATTGACAACATGTAAAGGCACAGAATCTTCAGGAATACCTCTGAAACTAGATGTTCAAGTACCAGAATTTATTGTCATGACATCAAGGTTAGGACATCAAGTTTCTGAACCTCTATTGACTTGTGAGAAACCTATGAAATTAACCTCTAAGTCACAGCATCATGTGGGATCTTCAGGAGTAGCATTAGGGTTAAGACATCAATGCCTGGAATCTTTAAGTGTGACCTCTAAGCTGCAAACGGAGGAATCTTTCAAGTTGCACTCAAAGCAAACAAATCAAACTGTAGGACATAGAGAATCTGTAGAACTCAGCTCTAAGACATGGCAGCAAGAAAATGTATCTGTTAGACTAAAACCACCACAGAATCAAAGTATGAAAAATTCAGAAACAGCCCTAGCAGGACCACTGGGTCAAGTTATAAAATGTATGAGAATCAATTCAAAGCCACTAGATCAAGTCACAGCAAGGGCACAGCTTCAAGTAGGTTGCTCAGTAGAGGTCACCCCAGTAGCTCCTTCTGTGAAAGTGATTCCTGGGCCACGACTTCAAGTTGTGAAGTCTGTGACACTACCAAGGCCAACCCTGCAGAAGGCAGAATATGTTAAGTTCATTCCAAAACCACAAGAGGTGACACCTTCAGAGTTTGCTTCAGGTCTTAGGTTACAAAATGTGAAATCGAAGGAATTCATCACGGAGCCAACACACCAAATTTTGGAAGCGATGGCACTGACAGGATGTCAAATAATAAAGACTGTGTTAATCCCAGGACCACTGCCTCAGATTGTAAAATCAGAGGAATTAGCACCAAGACCAATTCCTCAGGTAGTAGAAACGACAAGAGCTGCCATAGGATCCGGGAATGAAGTAATGGATTGTTTAAGTGGACTCCCAAAGCCACACCTTCAAAAACTGGGAAAACCTATGGAATTAACTCCAAGGCCAAATACCCAAGTGAAATCTGCAGAAATAACCTCACAGCAAACATCATATAAAGAACCTATAGTATTTATTCAGGAGCAAAGGCTTCAGGTTGTAAAATCCACAGGGACAAAAACAGAGCCTCCTAACATAATAGACGCCGAGGATCTGAACCCAGGACAGGTATGCCAGAATAACTCAGAGGAGTTAACATCAGAAGAGTTACAAGAAGGGAATTCTTTCTCTAGGATTCTACACAGCCCTTCAATTTCACTCATTTCAAGTTCTGTCCAAATCTCTGAATTAGGAAGCCTTCGGGACTTGGGGATACCGGAAGTATCCAGAGATTTGGATATGAAAAACCTTGGGATAGATATTACAACAAAGTCTTCAGCCCTTCCTTTGGCCCTTCATAATCAGCCCTTTGACAAAACAGCAAACACCATGGAAACTCTTCATCTTGAGATCTGGAAAGAAGATGTAACATCTAAGAGAACTAAGAGTAAGCATATGAATAAGTTAGAGCACTTGCTTCACAGCCATTTTCAATATCCACCACAAAGCCGGAGATCATCTGCTGAGACCTTTCAAGAAGGATCGGGGACTCAGAGAGGTTCTCTCCGTTCTTTCCTGGGCAGACAAAAGAATGTCTGGGAGAGTCATGCCTGTAGACAACGATTACCTAGGAAATATCTCTCCGGTATGTTAATGCTCGGCAATGTCTTGGGGACAACTATGGAGAGGAAGCTTTGTTCTCAAACATCTTTAGGAGAAAGAGCAACAACGAATATCTGTACATCTATTCAAAATTTATTTGGTGTTCCAGCTGAACTGATGGAATTTTCCAGGAGATGGCTAGAAAAGGGTCCAAGAATTACTTCACAGCCTTCGGTAGTCAAAAACTATATTCAGAGACATACACTATGCCATCATCCTGAGAAAAGAATGGCTTTAAGGATGTGGACACGTGGCTCCATATCTTCCATAATACGGCAATACTCAGGGAGTAGACTTGGAATAAAGAAAACAAAGTCAAAGCTCAGTGACATATCACAGGAGTTCACTCAGCACATACCTCTCTCATGTGCAAGGAGTCAGCTTCCTGTCCCAGTGAAGTCAGAATCTTCATTTGGGATATTTTATCATGGGGAAGATCCTGCTCCCATAGTTAAGGGTGAAAACTCACAGGCAAGGATTTTTGAGTCCCAACTTTCCCTCAAGACAAGTTATTTTTCCCAGACCAAGCTGGACATCTCCGAACAGTTCAATTTGCTACAAGAGCTACAGCTAAAAATTGCAGCAAAACTCTTAAGGAGTCAAATCCCTCCCAACGTGCCTCCACCTCTAGCTTCAGGTCTTGTCTTAAAGTACCCCATTTGCCTACAGTGTGGACGGTGTTCAGGATTTAATTGCTGTCATAAATTTCAGGCTGCTTTGGGGCCTTATTTGCTTATCTATCCTCAGCTCCACCTTGTGAGCACTCCTGAGGGCCGTGGTGAGATTCGGTTGCATCTCGGCTTTAGGTTGCGAACTGGGAAAAGACCGAAGTTGTCAAAATATCGTGGAAGAGACAGATCTGTCATACCAAGGAAGTCTAAATTGCCATCACAAAGGAAAGGTAAAATCTACACTCCAGCTTCCAAAAGCCCCACTCCCACCAGAGATCTCAGATCTGGATCTTCCCAGTCTCCTCCTCCTGTACAAGTCCATGTCAGGCAAAGGCAACGGGGCATGCCCAACTTAGCTGGAGAGTCAAGAGTGCGTAGGAAGAGTGAATTCCCTCCAGTTCACACCCTACTTGAGACTGACTCTGAGAGTAACCGGATTAAAAAATGGAATAGAGTAAGAACCACAAAGACCCCTGAATCAAAACATACATTAAAGAGAGACACAAAGTTCTACACCAAGAGTCCCTCAAGAGAATTACCAGCCCATTCGAGGAGGAAGATGGGAGCAGCTCAGACAAGTTCTGCTTCTTTAAAAAGACAACCTAGTTCATCTTCCCAGCCTAAGTTCCTGCAACTGATTTTTCAGGGTGTAAGGCAGGCATTTCAAACAGCACATAGAATCATAGCCTTGGTTGGACAGAAATCTGAGGACAGGACAAGGCCAGATAATTTGCATTCAGGCAAAAAGTACCATGCAAAACAAAGATCCAGGGATTATTACTTAGCAAGAGATAGCAGAAGAACTAGGAGGCGGGGTGATAAGCAAAGACCAACCACTCCAACCACTAAGCAGAAGGACATAGTGCCTTCAGGAGTGACAGATGAATGCAGATCAGCTCAACAGCTAGAAAGCGTCAACTCCTGCCAGACACTTAGATCTCTCCAACATCTTGAGCCCTCTATCCTCCAAACAGATACCACTTTCCAAACCACCTCGAACATACAGCTTTTGGGCACAGTGCAAAATGACAGCAGCAGGAGAGCAAAGAGAAACCGTGACCAAGACGAAGTCTCCAGCCAAGAGTCTAAGAACTTTCCCAGAGCAGCAGCCAGATTTCAAGCCCAAGGGACAATGGTAACCCATTCCCTTTCCAAGAGAACCTTGAAAAGTTACCTTGTAGAGAAAGACACCCAGGAGAGAGCGCCATGGGATGCCTCTCAGAGGAACCAGCTCAGCCCCTCTGAGAGAACTCTTCGCCATCTCTCTCAGAGGGGCCACGGCGTTCCCTCCGGCAGAAACCACCTCAGCCCCTCTGAGAGAACCCTCCGCAATCTGTCTGAGAGAAGACAGCGAAGTTCCTCCGAGAGGAGACGCCATAGGTCTTCTCAGCGGAGCCAGGCCAGCCCCTCTGAGAGAAGACATCGAAGTTCCTCAGGGAAGAGGCAATGGAGACGCTGGGAGCGAGGTCACTCCAGGTCTTCGAAGAGCCACTCCAATCCCCCAGAGAGGAGACGTCACCGAGTCTCAGAAAGGAGCCACCTCAGTCCCTCTGAGAGGAGATGGCCAAGTCCTTCCGACAAGAGCCATGGCAGCCTCTCTGAGAGAGGAGGACACAGCTCCTCCGGGAGATCCCATCCCAGTCCCTGGGGGCCGAGGCCCTCGCCCAGAAGCCACCGCAGTCGGGCTGAGAGGAGGACTCCTAGTCCCTCCAGGAGAAGCCGCCACAGCCACTCTGAGAGCAGTCCACCCAGTCAACCAGAGAGGAGCCAACACCGCCATGCGGAGAGGACCCATTCCAGTCCCCCGAGAGAGAGACTCAAGCACGGTTCCCCTAAGGAGAGGTCCACACATAGTTACCCAAACCTATCTCCGAGGGACACACCGAAACATCACAAAGCGTGGCAAATCTGGAGGCCCGGAACTAGCAGGTGAGGAGCGATCTGCTCCCCCAAGTCTTCACCTAACCTAGTTACCAGCTGATTCCTTTCCTTTCCCAGCTATTGCCTCCAATTCTGCACCCTCAACAATGGAAGGGCTTCCGTTTCTTTCCACTTGGAGGGAAGGGGACTGAGAATGAATGGGTCTGCGGTTTCACTAAGATGAATAAAGAGGCAATAATTGAACTCCATGTGCATCCACACGCCCATTCGTGGGGTGGGGTGAGGGTGGGCCAGGGAGGGAGACAAGGTGTCCTGCCAAGGGGGGGGACCCCAGGGAAGGAGCGTTGAGGCCGCCCCTGGGCTCCCAGCTCCTCCCCAGCCTTGTCTCGCGGGTCGGCGGCCGCGACGGAGGGGGGCGGGGTCTCACAGGACTCGGAGCCGGCGGGAGGGGGAAGGGGGCGGAGGAGAGGGTCGTCACGTGACCCTGACAGCCGCAGCCCCCCTCGGAAGCTACGAGGCGGAAGTGAGTGTGCTGAGCCGGGGGGGGGGCCAGGCGGCGCGGAGTCCACATCCGGGAAAGGCGGAGAGAGCGGAAGTGGCGTCGGTGCGGCCGGAGCCCTCGGGTGAAATTGTTAGGCGTGGAGAGGGAGTGATGTCTTCCCGGCTCGGTGCTGTCCCCGCCGTGAGTTTCTTGGTGTGACCGTTAACGATTTAGCGAGAGAGAGAAAACAACAACAAAACAAAAAACAAAACCGAGAGCGCGAGCCCCCCCCCCCCGGCCGCGGCCGCGCGGCTGCGCGCTTTGTCCCGCGCTGGAGAGTTGGTTTTATCCGAGCCCACCGTAGGCCCCACCCTTTGAGAGCAGATCCACCAGCCCCCCATTCTTTCCCCACTTTTTTTTCCCCTTCCTGTTTCCTACCTCCTGGCCTCCATTAGCTTCTATTTCCTTTGCATCCTCGGCGCCTCCCAGAGCCCTTGTCTTTCTTTTCCCCCTTCCTCTTTCTTTCCCTTTTCGAGCCTCCGTCTGGGACAGCAGCGCTTTGAGAATGGGGAAAGATGAAGGCTCTGGTCTTGCCACCTGCCTTCCCGTTGTAGGCAACTAGGACGACATACTTTTCCTAAAAAGCGTTGCTTGCTTCGCCTGAGGTAGTTGTCCCGCGAGAGCGTCCCTTGGAGGCACCCGGGGGATTCTTCTCTTTGTGGTCGGGGTTCAGGAGCCCCCCCCCCCCGCCCTCACTCGTGTGCTTGTGATTTTGCTAGACCCCGGGACCCACCTCCCTTAAGCTGCAGAGGAGCGCCAGGATCGTGGGAGCTAAGAAGTAAGTGAGGGTTTCCGAGGTCTTTTTATAATTGCTGTCGCCAGCGCTGTCGGAAAAAAAAAAATCTGCACCGTCCAATATCATAGCCACCAGCCAGCCATCCGTGGCTTTGGGACCCTTGAGATGTGGCTAGTGTCATTGAGGAACCGAATTTTAAATTTTTATTTAATTTTAATTGACTTAAATAGATAGCCACCTGTAGATAGTGGCTACTGGATTGGACAGTGCAGGTCTAAACCTATGGCGGGGAAGGGAAACCTAGCTTGCCATATATATGTGTATATATATATATACACACACACACACACATAAATATATATATATATTTATGTCTCAGGTACAAATATAGTGTATGAGTGGTAGACCTGCATTTTTTTCACACATTATACATTTAATGGAATCAGAAATAAAGATAATTTTAAAAAAATATATCAAACTACTTGGCTGCAATGACAGTTTATTCTGTGTACTGGAAATTTTTCCATGGTTGATACAAAAGAGATTCTCATTAGAAGCGCTCAGTACATGAATGCATTCATTCAGATGACACTTAACTAAATGTTTTCTTTGTGCCCATTGTCTAGTGGGTTGGGTATACAGATGTGAAAAACAGAACTAGCAATCTAAATGCAGAGGTTTTCAAGTACATCAACACACTATCGTGTAATCTTTTTTCTCCTATCTGGGCAGGGGGAATCTCACTGTAACCTAGGCTGGGCTGGAAGTTATCTTCCTTCTCTCATCTTTCTTGAGTGTTGGGATGTAGGCATTCATCATTATACCTGGCTTAGTAAATATTTTTGAGTGGGAATTTAATACTTGTCTTTGGGGAAGGGAAGTGATTGTTTGAAAGAGAATGGTTAACAGAGAAGGTGACTCAAGCACAGTTTTGAAAATCAAGAAATGAAGCAGTTAAGTCTGGGGAAAATTTTTCACAAGAGAGAACCACATTTTGAACTGGCAAAGAAGTTGATAACAAATAGTTCCATATTACTGGCACAAAGGATGGAAGGTTTGCAGAGACATCTTTTAGAAAGATTGTCAAGAGCCAGTCACAAAGAGCCTTTTATGGCATGCCAACATGTTGGAATTTTATACTGGAAGGAAACCATAGCCTTGTAATGGATGTGTTGGAAGGATGCTGGGAAACTGGTTCCAAAGCTGGTATAGTAACTGAAGAAAGAAATGGAGAATGTGTGGCCTGGAATAGTAGCAATATAGTGTAGGTTTATGGTAATAATATATAGGGAATATGCATGATGATTAGAGATGAGAGGCAAGGAGGAACAAGAATATATGTTGTTGAAAGCATTCACTGAATTGGGAAGTTCTGAATGAAGAGTAGCATTTGGAACAAATATAAATGGGTTTGGACCTTAAATGAAGAGTTGTTTTGAAATATAAATGGGTTTGGACCTTAAATGAAGAGTTGTTTTGAAATATTGAATAGAGAATCATCAATGATAAAATGCAATTGCAGATATTGTTCTCCACAGATGGGAATATTTATAAGCTCTAGGGAAGTGGTTAAAGCAATGTTTCTCAGATGTGTATTGGTTCCCTAGGAGATAATTGTTAAAAAATAGGAAGATGAATGTGCTCTCATCAATCAGAATCTGAACTGTTGGGAATTATTTGCGCACGCGTGCATGCGTGCGTGCGTGCGTGCGTGCGTGTGTGTGTGTGTGTGTGTGTGTGTGTGTGTGTGTTTTGGTCCTGGTACTGTCTCTGAGCTGCTTTTTGCTCAAGGCTATCACCTGACCACTTGAGCCATAATGCTACTGCTAGCTTTTCTGAGTAGTTTATTGGAGATAAGAATCTCACAGACTCTCCTGCACAGGCTAGCTTCAAACCTTGATCCTTAGATCTCAGCCTCTTGAGTAGCTAGGATTATAGCCGTGAGCCACCAGCACCCAGCCAAAGGAATACTTTTTTTTTTTGTCGGTGGTGGGGCTTGAACTCAGGGCCTGGGCACTATCCCTGAGCTCTTCAGATCAAGGTGAATGCTCTATCACATGGGCCACAGCGCCACTTCTGGTTTTCTGCTGGTTAATTGGAGGTTTGGCTCATGGCCTTTCCTGCCCAGGCTGCCTTTGAACCTCAATCCTTAGATCTCAGCCTCTTGAGTATCTAGGATTACAGGTGTGAGCCACCAGCACCTGGCAGGATAATTATTTTTAACTAATTTCCTAGGAGACTGAAGTTTGAGAACCAATAATTAGAAATGAGATTAGAAAAAAAAAAGAATGAAACCATGGAGAACCCCAGTCATTTAAGATTGGCAGAATTAAAACAACAAAGGATATGGAGACGAATTAAAATCCTTTTCTAAGAAACATACTCAACCTACTTCTTAATTCTTATAGAAGAATTGATTTCTTTGTTTCCATTAGAAAGAATAACATTGCCCCATTTGTAAGGACCTGGAAAAAATTATACTAAATGAAGTAAGCCAGACCCAAAGAAAAGTAGCTTGCATGGTTTCCTTCATTTGTAAGAACTAGAATATGTCTATAATATTCTTAACAGGAGATCTCAATAACCCAATTGCTTAGTGCCTATAAGATGAAGCGTATCAACATGAACTCCAAGATATGGAAACAAGAGTTTCTTATTATGTCCTATATAGAGGTATTTTTGTTTGTTTCTCTTAGTTTTCTATACCTGGTGTCTTATCTATAAGTTTGATTTGTGGAAGGGAAAGGGAATCACAGAAACAGAAGGACAAAGGATGAACTAATGCAACATTGATATTCACTTGACACAATGTTGGATATGAGCCTTACAACTTGAAGGGGAAGCAGGAGAAAATGAGTGATGGGGTAATAATGTTTAAAACCAAATGTACTCATTACCTTATGTAACTGTAACCCACCTACTCATCACCTTTTCAATAAAGATTTTTTTTTTAATGCTTATAGGTCAGAAAAGAGTTGAAAATAGGCTTAAATGTTTTCATTTTTGTGGCCAGGACCTAAGACATGCTACATGATGATGATAAATTGTCAAATCACTGGAATTATGGTAGTCATTCTATCATGCCTTTTCACATTCATTATCATTTTATGGAAGTTTGAGATTAACCTTGGTTTTAACAAATAATGAAATGCTTTGAGTTGATGGGTAGGTAGTACAACATACTTGAAAACTTTTTTTTTTTTCTGTGTCCTTTAAAAAAAGATAGTAACAGGCTGAGAAGGTGGTAGAGTGCTTGCCTTGCATGCATGAGGCCCTGAGTTCCATTCCTCAGCACCACATAAGCAGAAAAAGCTAGAAGTGGTGCTATAGCTCCAGTGGTAGAACGTTAGCCTTGAGCTGAAGAGCTGAGGGACAGCGCCCAGGCCCAGAGTTCAGGCCCCACTACCGAGTCTCTCCCCCCCCCCAATATATATATAGTTGCCCAATCAAAGGAAGGGGTAACACTTTCCAAAAAGAGTTGTATTCATTACCTGGCTTAGTAAATGGTAATCCCTCTGTGTATAACACCTCAATAATAATAAAATTATATTAAAATATTGCTGATTGTATAAACTATTGCTTTTTTAATACCGTGTTCATGCTTATTTATTAGTGGGAATATCAGTGTTTCTGAATTGTACTCTGATAATGAAATTCTCATTAGAGAGGTTCCTAAGTGGAGCATATGGGACTTGGCTCTTTAATGACCTATTGGTACTGTGAAGTCTATTTTTAGTAGCAGTTCTTTCCTTTTGGGAATGGTGGGTTTTGGATG